TCAATTGATTTGTTATTATGTTAGGTTTGTTGTCTCTCAACACAGGTATTGTGATACTCTTTGAAGATGAACAAGATATTGTTGCAAATGTAGATTGATGGATAAATGCCATATTTAAATTAGAAATGGAATAATGTGTGCATCCACAAAGATTACAATATAGGTATGTTTTGATTCTATTTTTTTATTTTCACACAAAGTACATGAAAAGTGGAAATTGCTCATATTTTCATTTATATTCAATTTAATTTATTTTAAAATTAAAACTTTGAAATATTTGACATCTATTCAGTAATATTAAATAATATTATTTTACAAAAATAAACACATAAGTTATCTTGTAATTTTAAATTTGACTATCTCATTGTATTGAAATAACATTTGATTATGATTACATCAGTGCATTTAAAGATATTTTAAAAAATTATATAATTTTCTATAAAAAAATCACCTAATATTAATTATTTAATTTTCATTTATACTTAGGTATATTTTTAGTAAAAATTAAAATTTAAAACATTAAATCTACAATGTATGAAACATCAATTAAAGGTGACATGTAAAATTTTAAATGTAAGTTTTTAAATTACATAATTGAAATTATGTAATATTAACGATTAAAATTTTATACATTAAAAATAATTTAATAATTTAAAAATCAAACATGTTATAAAATCTTTTTTTAGTTTCTACATTATAAAATTACTTGATTGTGTTTAGAATGAAGACTGGACTTAGGCTTGTCTACATCACAAATGTTATAAATTTCTAGAGATGATGAACTTGTCTCTTTTACCAAAATTGATGGTAGGATTTAGGTTAAAACTCAAGTGCTTTAAAATATACAATTGATTATTTAAGTACACCTTGTCAAACATCATGATTATAACCTTCCATAAAATTATAGCAAGTTAAGATCTAAGTACACTTAATTATAAAAGTTGAGTGTTTGTATGCATTTTGAATGACAGCCTGAACTTAATTCGCTTTAAAAATGTTGTCAATTAAAACCTGAGTAATTTGAAATCTAAAATATAAATATTCCAATGAATCTTATCAAATATCTTGAACTTAGTCTGCCTTAAAACTATTGCAGATTAAGTGTCAAGTGCATTTAAATCTAAGATATAAAAATCCCAAATGCATCTTGTCAAATCTCATTTGCTCAACCTGTCATAAAATTGTTACAAATTGATGTCTAAGTGCATTGAAATATAAAAGTTGAATGTTTGAATGGGACTTTATAAATCTTCAAGGCTTAATTTGCCATGAAAATATGGCAGGTTAAGGCCCAAGTGCATTGGAATGTAGAAGTTGAATGTTTGAATATGTCTTACCAAATATCTTCCCAAATATATTTAGCTTAAACTTGCCATAAAAAAGTTGTAGGTTATGTTCCAAGTGCACTGAGATTTATAAAATGGATATTTCAATACATCTTTTAAAATATCTTGAACTTAACTTGCCAACAATTGTTATTGATTAACTCAAGCACATTGAAATGTAGAATTTGAATGTTTGAATGTGTCTTGACAAAATTCTTGGATTTAATTTTCTATAAAAGTATTTGGATTAAATCCCAAATTCATTAAAAAAAATACATCATTTCTGAAAATAAGAAAATTCATTACCTTGGGGCCTCAAATCAAAATTTAATTTAATTTTTGAAAAAGTTTAGAAATAGAAAATGAAATAAGAAAATAGTTTTGAAATACCCAACATTAGAAGTCTTGAGTTACTTCCAAATGAAGTCAACTTAGAGTAATCTAGCAAGAGTGAGGATTATCTCATTAGGATTCAAGTGCATTGAGATCAATAATATAAATATTCAGAGAATGCATTATTCTTTGATATATTTTGAGTTTAATCCACCATAAAATTATTGTGGATTAAGACACAAGTGCACTAAAATGTTTAAATTGATAGTTTGAATTTGCTTTATCAAATTTTTTAGGCTTAATCTACCATAGAAATGTTGCAGGTTAAGACACAAGTGAATTATATAATAGAAGTTGAATGTTTGTGTGTGTCTTGTCAAATCTCTTTGACTTAACCCCTATAAAAATATTCCAAGTACAATGAAATCTAGAATATAAATATCTATTCTAAACCTATTTTGTTTTGACATTTTTATAAATATTCCTGCTGCTTTTTACTAAATTATTCAAAAGATTTAGCTAGTTTGTTTCAATTTGAACTTTATGCCATGGTTTTAAATGGAAAAATATGCTATTCGAAGTCCATCTTTAACCCACAGTTTTGGCAATGCTTTATGTAAAATTTCAATATCATCATAAGTACATTTTATATATAATTCCAATCATTCCAATCTTCAGTCCATTCCACTGGATTTGAACATCAGCATCCTATGTAAATATAATGAACACCAACAGGGGAGCTGCATGTTCCATGAATGGGCAGCTGGGCCACCCAACTTGGCACTTCCATCACCAATACTCTTATTTCCATTCTCACATTACTTTCATGTTTCATTCACTGTGTGTGCAATTTGAATAACCATGCAAAATATTATTACTCAATAAATGTATAATACCACCAAAGACAAATACATAACAGTAGTAGTGTTATTGCATATGTGTTGCATTGTGCTTGAGAAGATGTGTTTTAGGGCATATTGGATAACCCAAAAAATAATAATCAAAAAGAAAGATGGAGAAAGAAAGCAAAATATAACAATGTTATCATTTTTTATTTTTAAAAATAAATATTAATCTTTCAATAAGGAATTTCTAAAGATATATTTGATATATATTTCAAATGTTACATTCATTTTCAAAAAATCTTACACTTGAGTCTCTAATGCTATGGTGGATGAGTGATGTAGGTAAAAAGATTATTTGGATTACAATATTTTTTACAATAGTCATTATAAGCTACCTCACATACTTTTAAAGTAAAACAAAATGCAACAATAAATAGGAAAAATGAATATTTGGTGTGGCATCTAGTGCATACTACTATACAGTCCTTAGTACATGGAGTCTGTAGTATAGTGTTGTATAAATGATAGTTTTATGGTGAGTGCGAGTGAGATGTATGACTCTTTGATTTTCAAATGGTTCATCTCAAAGCTATATTCTATAAATGAATGACTTAGAAATATTCACTCTAATAAATCAAATGATACAAAAATAATAAAATAATTTTTTTCATTGAAATTTTGGCATTTGAAAACCCATCAAAACAAATTGTAGCTCACAATTGCAAATAAGTTATGTATATCTAAGTTTAAAACGGTGTTGAAATTTCATGTTTTAAATTGTATTTGTAGAATTTTAAAAAATAAAACTAGAATTAACCATACAAATGGAATTTTCAACTCCCACTGCACAGGGTTTGTTGAAAAGCCCTACATTACATCAAAATTTCAAATTCTATGATGTTATATATTATCTCTAAATATGAATCTAAAAGGTGCCTAAGGTGAACTACAAGATTCTTATATATTTATTTAATTTCCTTAAATTTCAAATGTATTACTCGAAAAAAGAAGGGATCAACATTCAAACCTAAAAAATTCAAAAAACCATACCAGGGGCAATTCTTTCAGAAATCAAAGATTTTATTTTTCATTTTTTTTTTTAAGTTGAAATCTTTCTTTTCTTATTTATTTATTCAGTCAATGTGGCAATAAAATACATTAGATCAGGAAATTTTATTTGTGAAAGCTTGGGCCAATTAAATAGCCTTGCTAGTCTCTAACCTAGAAAATTTTAATGATATTCTGTCAGACAAATCATCACACAATAAAATTAGCTGGAGGTAAAACGAGAGAAACAGGACCTCACTCAAAATCTGGCCAATCAGATGTGAATATAACTTCCAGGGGTTACTCATGAATAGCTATTTTTCCTCTTCTTATACTTTTCAGATGCTTAGAAGAGACCCTTGGGCAGAAGCCGAGGAGGGTGTGGGTGGTGAATTGGAGTGGGCGACCTGCAACTGGAGCCAGAAGGCAGACAATCGGGAAGGACTCCACCTTCAGCTTGGGGTGGGGCAAAGTGAGGGGGGCAATGGCAAAGCAATGGGAATTCACCATGTCCAAGCTAGTTCCAAAAAGTACATTCTAATATTTTCCACTCCCAAGCCTTAAAGAATTGTTGCACATTTTATTATTGGATTAAACAACATTGTTTTTATTTACAAGAATGACATGTTAGCAAAGATAATACAAATTATTTGTTCCACCAATCACAACCCTCTTTATTCTTTCCCTAAAAAATGTAAGAAAAAATAATCTAGGTTTGAGAAACCATTATTGAATGAAATGATTCATTCACAGTACCTATAGTAATCACTACAACTTGTTTCTAAATAACTTCTTTCTACTCTAAACATTGGAAGCAATGTTGAAATCCATTGTTTTGTGAATGAGTCACTGTGATTGTGCTATTCTCAGTGTTTCTAGATAATTTTGCAGCAGAAGCAATGATGAGCTGCAGGGCAATGATCAATGGCAAATGTTGTAGTAGACTTTGATCTTGACTACAATTGAATGACCAAAAAAGCCAAGTAAAAGCAATGGCAATAGCAATCGTAGTGCAGTCAACAATCAAATGCCAAGTGAAACCTGCATGAGTTGAATGCACAAGATCTTGGTTGGCCCTACTAATTGGGATATGAATGAAAGGAATTTGCTTGCAGGATTATTCATGGCCAGATAATTGTATGTTGTTGGCTTTAGAGTTAGAAAATCATGATAATTGCTATCTACAAATCAATGCTATTTTTTTAATTTTTTTTAATATTTTTTAATTGAATCCATGCTTTTCATTAACTGAGAACTCAATTATACTCATGCACAATCCTTGAATCACAATGCAAAGTTCGACATTTAGCGATTTGATGTAAAGCAAAAGCCTCAGAAATTAGATTTTTGTGATTCTTTCCTCAACATCATGGATCGTCAAGTGCGGGAAGAATGTCAAGAATATGAATATTTCAACCCCGTTTCAATAGCAGTGACCACCAAAAAACCCCAAAGTATCCTTACTTGCCTGACCTAAGTTACGATCGGCCCGCTTGCAAAATCGATAGCAAGTTATTCGACCAAAAGAAAGGTTTGGAGAGTCCCGAAAATAATCCAGCCACTTGGTATTCCAACGCTCTGTCGAACCATTCTCTAACAGCTCACAATTTCAAGGAAGAGTTTCCAACTCTTGACCACGTTGGATCGATTCAGATCCCCAGCTGTGATAGATCGCGAAATAAAGGTTCAAGTCAATCCAGAAGTTGTACGTTCTCTCCAGCAGATCTGAAACATCGGAAAATGCTTACAAACTTGGGCACTATCGACGTATACAAGGATAAAATTGTGGATGCGATTGAGATTTTCCCCTCATCTCGAAAGTAGAGAAATTGCAACTATGAAATTCGACAACCTACAGTTGCCATTGGACGGCTTTGAGGTTGTGAGAGAGCATATTAATTCAGCTTTCTCTTCTCTTAACGATTATTCTCCATTGCAAATGAAGGTCTATCGCAGTGATTTTGGGAATGAATCCCCTGATTGGAATGGCGAGTTGGTTGGCAAAAAATGCACTTTTCCTGCACAGTGGAATTGCGAGTATTCTGTGTCATGGGATGTTCCACGTGATGATGATGAAACAAATCATGCATATTTTGAGTAAGTTGGATCACGCTCAAATGACGTGTTACTGTCCCTGCAAATTCAATCGCATAGGTCAGTCTCCGTGCACATTATGTAGGCTTAGCAGGTAAATGCATTTGGGAAGTATTGTTAATAATAAATGGGAAGGAAAACAGACCCATTAACTGAGAGCAGTTGCTGTGCAGGAAAACCTTAGTTCTGCTAATTCTGGGGGAAATTCGAGCCCAATGCATAACCTTAATGATGATCACCAAACTTAGAGTACCTCGAGTTGGTCTAAATAAAGACTTTGTCGTGCATCTGCAATGACTCTTTTGACACATGGTATTGTAACCGCAGGTTGGACTGTCTAACCGGTGAAGTAAATGTCACAAAAGGTACCTTTTTCCCCTGACGACAAGATACTTTAAGCCCATCATATTCTCCTCACAGATTGTATGAATCGCTGTAAGAGAAGAACCCCATCAAATGACGTCAAGGAACAATCACTTATGTTATCGTCATTCCTTGATTTCAATACCCAACAGCTTTATAGCGTATTTATACCTGTAACTTCTCCGTCACATGATGCACACAAACCACACATCAGCAGAGAATTGAAGTGGAAGGTTTATGGTCGAAAATTTTCTCGTTGAGAAGCACTTACTATTTGTCAACTCACAGTGATTCCCATCTGGCATGAATAGAACGACCCACATATTGTTATGTGCTGCATAAAATACTGCAATAACAATCGCTGTCCTGACTACGGGGGAAAGATTTCTCAAGCGAGATGCAGGGTGTCATTGCACCGAAAATTCTCCAGGATCAAAAGGCAATCTTCTTAGCCGACTAACAATGGGAACGAGGACTCCAATTTTGTCTGTTTTCCAGCCAGCGAGGATCGCGCTACTGTGGATGCAAATACTATCCCTCATCCGACCCAGTCGATTAATATTCCTCTCCAAGTGTTTGGCACTGTAGAACCAACTTCAGCAATGGAACAATACATCAATGTCTTTCCATTTGAAGCTCCAGCGAACAGGTACTAATTCTGCTATATTCCAGTCGTCTGTTCTGACTAGAAAAACAATGATGAAAATTATGCAGTAGAAAATTTGAGCTTAGAGTACAAAAGAAGGCTCTCTCTGAAAAAAAATCGAAAGGGAAAGCCATCATGGATTGTGTGAACAAAAAACAAATTTATTTGTTTTTATAGCGTCCGCAGTAATTGTGTCCCTCCACGCAACTTTATCTTAATATTGACCACGTAATGCGCAGATCACGCAGTTATTAAGCAGTTCTTGATAAGCCCTGAAGAGATTAGAGAGCGTCTGGATTAGCAGTGCAAAAACACTACCAAGTGAATATGAATGTACATGCTTCCAAAAGCATGAAACCATGTTTACCCTGCAGGATATGTCCAGAAGTCTATGATTCCCTTGTATCTAGGAAAGATATTACAGCAGGTACTCCACTCTATGAACCAGATTCCCTAGCATGCGTTATACGTAATCCGCTTTTATCAAGTCAAGGAGATGCCATACTTTTCAGGCTGGTTTTGTAATCAACCATATGAGAGTGTACATATTGAAGAGTTCTATTTCATTATAGTGCAGTAATGTACGATGTGCAGCTAAGGCAGCGTTGACCACAAAGTTATTCTTAGAGGGGAAAACTCATCTTGTGATATGTTTCTGACAAAATTAGTGACCAATACCCAGAGGATTATGCTCTCCCACTTCGCTTAGCAGCCTTGGAAAGGATACTGAAATTCTGTCGTGACAAGTTAAATTAGAGCATTAGCGAGAAGCATATTCTGAACTGCAGCAGGCCCCAGAGACCAGGAGATCATCGTCAAATTTGTTGCCGACAGAAAGGGAGAAAGCCGAAGATGAGACGGAGTATTATACCTACAATGAAAAAGCAGACCACTGCTTCCCTTCAAACGTTTTGTACGACCATGCTGTACTGAATGAAGGGATGCACAATGTTGAGGAAGACTCGCTGAAAGTCTGTGCCCCTTTTAAAGCACTACCTCAGGAGGATATCAATGATATGAGCATAAGGGGGAGGTATACTACGGAAGAAACTGAAGCCTGAGGATGCATATGATTCTGATTGCCGAGCTTTGCTCTCCAGTCAGGAAGAGTGGTCACCAGCATTTCAGCTACGATATAGTCCAATCTGTTCCTTTTGAACTTCAAAGGCCTGACTATTCTTGCGGCTCAAAGCAGAATAAGGTTCCAGACCATGGCATTAAGAGTATCGATTCTGTTCTCATTAAATTTCAAAGACCAACAGAACTCTCCCACTATGGACTTGGTCAGCAAGATCCAGAAGAGACTTGACGTCCGGAAAAGGATATCAATCAGACAAGTGATATGAAGCAGAAGATCAACTTAGGATTGACCAAACTCATTGCTGAATGTGGAATCAGGTGGGCAGAATTGTTCAGTGTTGAATGTGGCAAGGGACTGGCAACGAGTTGCTTCTCATGTTGATAGATTTCTGCTTGGTTGTTATCTAACTCATAAGTACCAAATTGAAGAGCTTCGAGTATCCTGTTCAGTTTTATCCAAAATGTTTATTGAAACCTGCTGCAATGACACAGATACATTGAAGTACCTCAATATCTTGCGCAGGTTACTGACGGATGTGAATATACATGGAGGCAGACGATGGTCATCGAGCCTTCACAGGAACAACAAACCCAGAATAATTTCCAACATAACGAACTCGCTACTCAAGACTTTAAAAAGGATGGAGGATGCACCATCTGTGACGCCGTTTATGCGAAAATCATTGAGAGCTATTAATGTGACCCAGCTCAAACTTGAAAACAATGTAATAAGGTTATCGAATAGTTCTTAGAATTAAATGATCCTTCAACAGATCTTTTAATACATAAGAATTTCCTGATGCATAGTTAGAAAAGAGGTGTACAGCCAACCAAGAATGCATCATTGTTAGAATGTCTCTAGGTCTATTCCGCTGCTTGATTGTGCTTGTGATACTAACGTTTCAAATTGAGTAGAAAAATACTTGCATAATAATTCTCAAAGCTTGAGCAGAGGGCTTCTGCAAACCCTGCATTGGACTTGAAAATTAGCCACAAAATACTACGCCTGACAGTTACGACTATAGGAGCACTTCAAAGTCCACATCTTCTATAGTTGCGGTGAGCAAAAGCAGTAACCCTTGAATGAACATGAACACTTCTAAGAACCCTGTCGATAATCTGAGTACATTGTTTTCAAATTTGAGCTTCGAGTTTATGAGATTCGAATTTCCATGAGCTCCAGCTTCAAGCTGACAGTCGACCGTCACGCTAGAGGTTTATAAAGTGAATTTAGATATATGCAGGCGAACATTCGATCATAAAGCATCATGTTCCGTTCAAGTTCATTTCCAAATCCTTGAACACAGCCCTTATCATAATGTATCTGCCGCAAGTTTGACCAGATGAATTAAAATCCGGTTGAAAATTCAGGTTTCTTCCATTAGCGTGCTCTGCGAAATGAATACATCCATTGCCTACAGCACTCCTCACAGTCGTCACTGTCTGCCGCCTTTGTACCTATGTTTCTTGGGCGCAGGCTTTTCACGCTTTTCAGCCAACTTAGTCATCCACGAGGAAGGCGCACCATTGTTGTGTCTGCTTCCTGTTCTGAGAAAGGAGAAATATCTCAGGAGTGGGAGAGGTGGGGAAATATTGTTGATCTGGGAGTAGATCATGATGCTGCCTACCAGGACACCCTATCTACAATTGGCAGGTCCTTCCTAAGCAGTGATTTTTCTTTACCAGCGAAAATCTGTGAGATTTCTTATTAAAATATGGCAATTTCACCCAATCGATCGCCCAATTGATCGCCTAGTAGTGCAGTTCATTTCGCAGTTGTGAGTGTGTTGTGTGCGCAATTGGCAAATGGATGATTAAATTGAAAGCATTGCCGCCAATGCTCTTCTTTCTGGAGAGATTGTACTGCAGAATGCGCAATGTGCTTGCATGAGGTTATGAACGGGTTGTGTAACGTGCGTTGGCAAGATCAGGCATTTTATTTTGTGCACATGAAATTGTGGATTGCAGAATCCGCGGGTTCTTCTGCTACTGCAGACGTGGAGCAAACGAAATGTGAGAGTCCATACGGAGCTCGGAAGTCTCCGTTGACAGCAGAATTTGTGTCAGGGTCATCGAAGCTCTTGGAAGGGTCTACCATTGATTCCGATGGCCGGTTGCTGTAGCTCGAAGGACGCCCTTCTGAAGCTGGGTTAGTTCGCAATCACCCTTGTTGTTAACGCTGTCTTGCTCAACGTGTAGATCGAGATTGCTCTGAATGTTGCGCATGCGCAGCAGTCTAGGATGAAGGATTGCAGACGTGTCATATGTGGAAGGTGATGGGACGGATCCAAGAGCATCTTCAGGAATATGGGCAAGATAGCATGGTTCAAGATTTGTCTAAATCTTGTGTGGTTAGAGGGCTTGGGCAATCGTTGTAGAGAGTTTTCATTAGATGGTGTGTGTATGGTGATGTGCAACAATTGCAAGTATTCTATGTTTGCCATGTAAAGTTTTATGTGGAGGATGTAAAGATTGGCAATTAATGCATGATTACGATGTTTATAATGCATCAATAGGTGCTTGGAAAAGCTACATAATATTTGGAGCTGCACATGAGAAGGATATGATATAATACAAATTCTTGCAATTATTGTTGGTGAATATTAGATGCTAGTAATAATTGAAAATATGAGCATAGAAATATAGGCCACAAGGTAGGATATTTACAATGAGATGTTACATGAACTTTTTGCCAATATCAAGGCATTAAAGTTTAAATAGATGAATAAATTTGAGTACTTCTTTTAGTTCATTATGATTACAATATTAAAAAAAGGCATGAAAGTAGAAGTATTGTGAATTCATGATCTAAATCTACACATAATTTATAAATTATATTTGAATTCATGATCCGTTAGGTTACTGACGGATGTAAATTATAATTTGAATTCATGATCCAAATCTACAAATGGTATAATAGTAGCACAAAGTCGAAATTTCTTTGGCTTCAACAATGTTGTATATTGTTGATCAAATGCTGCTTCCTCAGCCTTTGGTGCAAGATATGATCTCCTTGATAAGGCATTAGATAGTCCTTGCTGCTTTCCAGGTTGATATGTGATAATAAAATCAAACTTAGATAGCAAAATATTCCACCAAGCTTGACGCCAATTCAAGACTTGAGCTGACATGAAATACTCCAAATTCTTGTCATTCATATATACAGTCACTGCATGTGTAGCTCTTTTAAGAAAGTGATGCCATTCTTGGAAAGAATCCACTATAGCAAAAAGTTTCTTATCGTGGATTTCATAATTGATTTCAACAGCAAAGAACTTTTGAGAATAGAATGCAACTAGATGGAGCTTCTTGTCTTCACCCATTTGTGAAAGTACAACTCTTAAAGCAAAATCCGAAGCATCAGTTTCTAAATAGAAGGCCTTTATAAAGTCTAGATGTACCAAAATTGGTGCTGTAATAATTGCCGTCTTTAGGTCTTAAAATGCCTTCTCTGTTAGAGGTCCCTATTCCAACTTATCCTTGCATATCAATCAAGTGAGAGGAGCAGCAACTTGAGAATAATTCTTGATGAAGATCCGATAGAAGTTAGCAAAACTAAGAAAGCATTATACATCTCGAACCGTCTTTGGAACTTCCCATGACACGATTGCTTCCACCTTCTTGGAGTCCATCTTCAAGCCTTCTGTAGTCGCAATAAATCCCAAAAACTCCATCTTTGTTTGGTGAAATAAACACTTTTCTAACTTGGCGTATAGTCCTTGCATGCGTAGCTTCTCCAAGACCAAACAAACATGCTTCTCATACTCTTCCTCGTTTTTAGAGAATATTAGAATATCATCTAAGTAGATGACAACAAAGTCGTCAAGGTACTCCCGAAAGATGACATTCATCATATGTTGGAAGACCGCTAGAGCATTGGTAAGACCAAAAGGCATGACATTATACTCAAAATGACCATACCTTATATGGAACGTTGTCATATTACGTGCTTTCCTGCTCGAGAACGCGCCGGGCGTCTGGCTGTAGAAGGTAGTATGGAGATTCGCCGATAGTCAAGCAGTCTATCAGTTTTTGACTCCTAGAATATAAACGACTGCAACAATGTACCGTAAATCTATACGGATGTTCTTCGACTGCTTGTCGAAGTCTTTTTCTTTTGTCCCAGCCGGTAGGTCTGTAGACGTTACAGAAAACCCTGAACAACCCAAACTGTTAATCTTCAATACCCCTTTGTACTTACGATCTTGTATCCACTGACTGTCATGTTAGATTAACCCAATAAATTTCATTCACTCCACATACTCAATCCTATAGACACCTTTTTAATCCTTCAATCAGAGACGTAACTCGATTTTACAAAACAGTCAAGAGTATTCAAACCCACTTCATTAAAAATCCCGATTCACCATTACAACACTGACTTCAGCAGCGATTGCCTCAGTCTTCCCAAAACTCTACAAAGAAGAAAAATCCAAATTCTATGTCTTTCCTTCCCCGACCCGAAGCATGAAGCTCCTCTCTCTAATTCCCTTGATCTTCAAAAACCTCCAATGAAAAACCAAACTAGTAACCTTGCAAAAGCTTGAAAACTAGCTCCCCCCCGATTCCCCCGAAAAAAACCTCCCTCCCTAAAACTATATTCTCTCCTAACCTTATCCTCTGAATTTCTTCAATCTTCCATCTTAGATCCGGAATTGGCTCCCGCCGTCAGAGCTTAGATCCGAAATTGGCTCACGTCATCAAGGCCTTCTCCTCCGTTTTTACCTTTAAGAGATCCATTTACCGTAAACAACGTTCCCTGAAACGACACAGAGAACAGGACAGCCCAAAACAGAATCGAAACCCCGTAATCGGGACCACATTGAGTCGCCCGACCAATTCAGGTCCCATATTGGATAAGATGCCCATAGTAACCTGGATGCTCGCGTAATTGGGTCAAATTGGTCTTCGCGTCAAACTGGCTGAGGCCCGTAGTAAGACCCGGATTTTCCCGTAACTAGACTGCATTGGGTTGCCCCACCAATACAGGTCTCATATTGGGTAAGAGGACCCTGATTGGATTCTCGAAATTGGATCCAATTGGCTCTTCAAACCCATCGTGTGAATTGGTCCTTCTCATCCTGCTAACTCCCGTTATTAGAATCGAATGGAGCATTTCAGTATGCCCCGGCTGATTGTAACGGGGTGACTGAACCTGACCACTCAGTATTTGTGCTGGAGTTGGTCGATGCTCCCAATATTCGAGGTAACTGAATATTAATAAAATTCTCTTTTTTTTTTTTTATTTTCACTGTATACTCGTGTTACAACACGACAACGTTATCTTCTACTCATCTCCTTCTTTGATTTGTACGAGATTGTAAGCTCCCCTTAGATCAATTTTTATAAAGATCTTTGTACTTCAAATTATTCTAAGAGACTACAAATCAAGGATAATGGATAATGATTCTTCTTTGTTACCTTATTGAGGCCTCGATAGTCCATGCATATCCACAACAAGCCATCTTTCTTCTTCACAAATAAGATGGGTGTTCCAACTAACGATTTTGAATGACGGATGAAGTTCTTGGCTAGATTCTCATCGATATACTTTTGTAGCTGTACCAACTCTATTTGCGATAGATTGTAGATTGGACCAAAAGGCAGTTGTGCTTCTTCTTGTAAGTCTATGGCGCAATCATATGGCCGGTGTTCCGGTAGCATATGAGCATTCTTCTTTTGAAACACGTCTTCAAAAGAAGAGATGAATGACTCTACAAGAAGACAATATTGGTTAAGAGGAAGGCACTCTGCAACCTTTAAAACACCTTAAGAGCTTCTAGAAGAGGAGTAATCCACTTTCTCCAAGAAGAATAAGACTCCAATATTGTAACAGAAGAAGTATCAGTTTAGAGGAAGATAATCCGCAACCTCTAAAATATTAATACACCTTCAAGCAGAGGAGTAATCCATGCTTTAATAAGAAAGAAACTAACTCTGATATCTCAGGTAAGTGTAGTCTCGACAAACTATCATGGACACAAAATATAATTTCAAAATCTAACAAGAAGTTCAAGAAGAATGAGCAAGAACTAGATCAAATAGATGAGTATAAGAACAACACTAGAGATGTAAATTAAAACTCCAAGAAATGTGTTGTTGAAACTGAAGAACTCTTCAGCCTTGATCCTAATATATACTCCTACTTAGGAAGCTTCTCA